TTTTTTTTTTTTTTTTTTTTTTTTTTTTTTGGAGAAACATAACGTTTTTCATTCCAATGAAACCACGGGGGCCCCGGGAACACACCCCTACTGGATTTTGATTGACAGCCCTTTTGACTCCACAGTTCCCCCCCCCCCCCTCTTACTACCTTTTGTCCAATCCTTTTGCCCTCGAACAATCATGAATTTCACAAAAACCAGCCAGATTCCTTCTCCCGAAAAATCATTCATGCATCATTCATGGATTTCACGACCAGATTCCGAATCTCCACACCACTTCTCTGACTGGAAAGAGAACTTATTTATTATGGAACAGCACATTGTAGTAGACAAGTGTTGTCGGGTCCTCTTTGCATCTCTCCTCCCTCGTTCTTTTTTTTTTTTTTTTTTTTCTTCTTCTCTCTCGTTCTTCAGCTCCTGGGCTCAAATCTTTCTTCAAATGACTCTCCCACTCCCAATTACTCCTGGGCTCTTCATCTTCCCTTCTCTTTCCCCCCCCAAATAAAAAAAGCTCCGTTGTTGAAGTACTGAGCTTCTTCACCAGTGTTGTTGTTGTTTTTTTTTTTTTTTTTTTTTTTTTTTTTGTTGTTGGGGGGGGGACGTGGGGGGGAGTCACCACATTGTTGATACAGCATCGATCTTGACTTTAGTGTCCAGGAAATGCGGCTCCGATACTTGAAGTGTAAATTGAATTACGGCCTCCACAGAATGAAGGAAGGCAAACAGCTCAGGTCTCAGCAATGTCGCAGTCAACAGTGTTTTTTGCTGAGGATATTCCTGATACACTACCTTCTTCCTCCCAACTCAAAGCACCCTCATTTTGGCTGTACCGGACCGAAACATAGCTTGTATTCACATTTGTCATCAGGGTGCGTTATGTTCGGGGGAAGAAGGTAGCTAACGCCACGGTGTAATTGCTTCTTCGTGCAATGGCCACCTGCTTTTGCTGAAGGATTGCTGGTGCGATTGCGAATTGAGAACACGGTTCAAAATCCGCACAGTCATAGGCCCGGTCTCTGAGCATATTATTAATTTATTAATGGAGATGGAGCCTCTCCCCAGGTGCTAGCGGTGACTGGTCTGGTCTGTACCTGTGGTCCCGGTCTCTGAGCATATTATTTATCAATTTATTAATGGTATGCTGGGATCAGCATGCAAATGCTTCCTGCATGCGATGATGGGCAACGTGTTCACGTTTTTGCTGAGGGATTGGTGGTGCAATGAACACAGATCATAATGTGCACAGGCGTAGTCCAGGTGCATCTTCTCTTGAGTCACTGGAGGTGCCTGCTCCTCATGCTACCCAAGGTCAGGGGCCCGACTCTTATGGGAGAGAGAGGGGGAGAGGGACCCTACCATCCGTACCATCGGACCTTTGGTCCAAGTCAGAGATTCAGGGGTCGAAAGTGGGGTGTCCTGTCGACTTTTCTCAGACCCCTGTAGGACAGGACACCCCACTTTCGGCCCCTGAATCGTAACTTTGGTCGAATTCAGAGATTCAGGGGTCGAAAGTGGAGAGATTCAGGGGTCGAAAGCCAGGTGTCCTGTCCTAGAGGGGTCTGAGAAAAGTCCTTGGGTCAACAGGTCCTTGGTCCAGGGGCAAATGGGGCGAGAACAGGTATTAGTTGGTCCAGGGGCAAATGGGGCAAGAACAGGTACTAGTTGGTCCAGGGGCAAATGGGGCAAGAACATGTACTAGTTGGTCCAGGGGCAAATGGGGCAAGAACAGGTACTAGTTGGTCCAGGGGCAAATGGGGCAAGGCAAATGGGGCAAGAACAGGTACTAGTTGGTCCAGGGGCAAATGGGGCAAGAACAGGTACTAGTTGGTCCAGGGACAAATGGGGCAAGAACAGGNTCCAGGGACAAATGGGGCAAGAACAGGTACTAGTTGGTCCAGGGGCAAATGGGGCAAGAACAGGTACTAGTTGGTCCAGGGGCAAATGGGGCAAGGACAGGTACTAGTTGGTCCAGGGGCAAATGGGCAAAGGGAGTTGACTGCAGGAAAATCAGCAGTCAGGTCCAAATTGGGCAAGAGAAGGTAAAGAAGAGTTTGAGAATTCTCAATCAACCACAGCCACAGATCTGATGCACAATCAAAGGCTGTCTGTTCTGCTCCAGTAGTTTCCAGGGCCTACTGGGTCCAGGAACACATTGGCGAACAGCAAACCTGGGCCGTCCAGATGGAGAAATTGAGGAGAAAAAAAAAAAAGGAGGCGGCGAACTGAGGCACCCCAAGGCTGCTGCGCAGCTCTACTCTACAAAAGAGTTGCGCGCCCCGCCCCGCCCCGGCAGCTCATTCATTCCGCCTAGCCTAGCACGTGTTGGTGGCAAGAGCGCTGCTGTAAGCTGGATGTGGAAGAGAGTGGCTGGTGCCAGGAGGATGAAGGCAGCGCCAGCCCAGGAAGAAGAGAGAGAGAGAGAGAGAGAGAGAGAGAGAGAGAGAGAGAGAGAGAGAGAGAGAGAGAGAGAGAGAGGCCTTAGCTAGGAAGGGCGCCTGCGCCATAGCTGTAGTAAAGAGGTAAGGAGAGGAAGAGGGTGATCAGGACTTGTGAGGATGGGAAGAGAGAGAGAGTAAGGGAGTGAGGGTAGCTCACGTTGACTTACCTGTTGGCGCTGGTGATACTGGAGCTGGGATTAACAACAGGAGTCTGAAGGAAGGCAAGCGCCAACTTCCATAGCCAGAGGCATTGACACTAGAGGTCGTGCACACCCATCTGCGCACCCATCTGGCACCTGCAGAGCGACTTCATGTATTCAGGGAGGGAGATTGCACGCGCTGAGGTGGCAAGTGGAGGGGGAGAAAGTCCTGGAGGTGAAGGGGGAACCGATGAGGCCCGCTTCAACTATCCTCTGGGGGGTTAACACAAAGGTAGGACAGGGGGGTAAGGGGTGCGCCAGGGAAATTGACGAGAGGAGGGGTGGGTGGGCTCCTGTTTCTCCTTTTTTTGTGGGTGGGGTCTTCTGAGGGGTTCCCCCCCCCCAAAAAAAAAAAAAACTCTCCTCCTCTCTACTGTTTCTTTACCTTTCTCTCTTCTGGTTGCTCACTGCTTATTATGTGACTACACTGAGTGCTTCATGGCTTATTCGGCATTGCAACTGATTCCATTTTGAGTGCATTATGACTGGAAAAAAAAAAAGCATCTATCTTTTTCTTCAATTTAATCTTTTGCATGATCGTGTCGTGGAAGCTTTCATGATCCATCCAGCAACCGCATGAAAAACAAATCTCTCTCTCTCTCTCTCTCTATATATATATATATATATGTATATATACTATACATATATATACTCCGACGAAACAGTTTGTCACAGCCCCTCGTTTGTTGTCCTCTTCTCTCTCTGCCTACGGTTTACCGGGCAGTTCTGTTTGTGACGATATATATATATATATTACGATATATGTGTATATATATATATTTGTTGTCCTGTTCTCCCTCTCTGCCTGCGGTTTACCGGGCATCTCTGTTTGACTATATATATATATATATATATATATATATATAGCCTCCTGATGAGTCGGTGAAACTTCGCCGAAACAGTTTGTCACAACCCCTCGTTTGTTGTCCTCTTCTTTCTCTCTGCCTACGGTTTACTGGGCAGTTCTGTTTGTGACGATATATATATATATATATACAGCCTCCTGATGAGTCGGTGAAACTCTGACGAAACAGTTTGCCACAGCCCCTTGT